TACTACATATACAACTGACTTTACGTCGCTGTACTGACTTTATATATATATATATATATATATATATATATATATATATATATATATATATATATATATATATATATATATTTTTTTTTTTGTGCAGTTTTCTCTTAATTACTGCTTTCAGTGTGATCAACTAATTACTTTTTTGAGTTTGCTTTACTGAAGTTAACGATTAATCGATCTCTAAAGTAGTTGAGGATTAGCTCAGAAACTGTTTCATCACAGTTTGTTCAGTTGTTTTGATAAATAAACCCGGGTCTCTGGGATCTTTAACAAAAACACGACTTTTCATCAAACCCTCCTGATGGGAGCCTGACCTGCCTGAACCAAAACCCTCTGAGGTCGTTTTAACCCACAAGGTTAATAAGACCAAATGAAAAACGAGCTCTCTGACCGCTGACCGTAATGTCCTGTTAACATGCCGGACACGGCCGGCCTGCGGGTCGGACCTGCAGGAACGTCTGCGCTGGAAAAACCTCCAGGAAGGAAAATAAATAGATACGGCTGTGATGATTAATGCCAGGCGGCGTCCTGCTGTAGCTTTGAGAAATGATCATTGATTTTCGGCCCTCTGGTGGACAAGTTATGGGTTTGCTTTGATGGATCACCTGCTGGGGGAGAAAGGAGGCGAGCTGAGGCTGGAAAACAAAGGATTTCTTAACAATGGGAAAAGCCGGATCACGGAAACGAATGGAGGATTAATCCTGGGTAATCGATGGGAAAGCAGACAGTTTCTCTCTGATTCTGAAGCTTATTGAAGTTGCCACAAGGACTGGAGACGCAAAATAATACACAAAAAACTGTAACTTTGATAGATGCAGATATTTGATCCTGCTGTCCATGACAGCAGTGAGGATTAAACATGGAAGGAATCAGGTTTGTTTCCTGAAAAGAGGAACTTCCTGACAGGAGCTGCTGCAGTCTGAAAGTCTGAGAAAAGAGGTAATTGTTCATTTATTCCAGATTTCACCCAGCCGCTCCCTTGTTTTCCTGCCCTCAGACCTGCAGTAACTGGAAACAACAGGTGCTCTGAATCATTTATACATTCAGTGCCGTTCCAGAGTTTCTGTTCAGAAAGCGATGATGTAATGCCTCTTTGTTAGCACTTAGAGAATCTAACCAGGTATTACTGTAAAACTCTGCTAACCCAAAGCCTGATGAACCTGCACTCTGCAGCGTTTCAGTTCACTTTTTGGCTTTTGGCAGCTGAATTCACCTCAAAGCACTGTTATCACTCACTCAGCGATGCATCATGAGGAAAATCTAAACATTTTCTCCAAAGTTTGACTCTACAGCTATAAAATTAGTCTGAAGAGTCTTTCGGTTTTTATGATGACATGTTTGCTTTGCTGCGATAACAACAGATTTGTTTGGTGCTTCATCACTTTAGAGGAGAAAGCATAAAAAGTTTGGATGAAAACAATAGCAGACATTGTGGAGCCACCAGATTATCACCCAGATTATCACCCAGATTAAGTCTTTGTTGCAGCAGTGAGATGCTTTTTCTTTTTGTTGCTGCTGTTTGCTGAAACTTCACCCAAATTTTGTAATTATGCCAAATTTGACAGAAAATACTTTTTAATTAATAGAAACTCTTAACAGTTCAGAATGACGCACAGCATGCTGATTGAACACTCAGGTTATTGTGATGTGAAAATGTTTCTGTTTCTGGCAGATTTACATCCTGTGGGATAAAATTGAAAACTAACAATTTAGGTAGTTTTCTGAATAAGTCTTTATTTATTCAAAGATTTATTCAGAAGTCTTTGAATAAATAAAAGAGCTGTTAGCTTAGTGCAGCATTTTGTTGTATCACCTTGTAACATATTGGGTTGTGCTTAAACTCTCTGTGATGATAAAATTAAACTCTTTCTTCTTCAGATTTCTAGAAAACACCTGAATGTTTTGGACCAGAACCGTTTGGTATTTAGATTTATTCTTCATAATTTCATCCACTTGACAATAACTCCTGGATGATGCCGCCATGTTTCTGTTTTTGTGTGATAAATACGCCTTAAGGTGGACTTTGCTTCCCTGTTAACCAGCCTGTGTGTGTGTGTGTGTGTGTGTGTGTGGGCCGCAGGGTGACCTGTTGAACCCGTGCCGCTGTGACGGCTCGGTCCGCTACACCCACCAGCAGTGTCTGCTGAAGTGGATCAGTGAGCGCGGCTGCTGGACCTGTGAGCTCTGCTGCTACCGCTTCCAGGTCATCGCCATCAACATGAAGAGACCGTGGCAGGTAAACAGGAAGTTTCTACAGAAACACAGAGCTGCAGCTTTCTGCTGAGGGCTGCAGCTCAGTCTCATGTTAAAGCTCCATGTTGTGTAAATTAATGATGAAACGGTTTGTGTCAGCATCACCGTTATTAACATCCTGACTAATTTACACATAAATTGTCTTTTCAGGCCCTAAAGTGAAACTCTTAATAGTTTGAGCTGATATTGAACTGAGCAGTGATTAAATTATAAAAGATAAATGTCTGTATTAAGTGTGCAGTATGCATGTTTTCATGTAGATATTAACTCCATGTTGATCTGGGATTAGTTGTTTTTGTTTGTTTTTGTATTCTTGATTACATAAAGTTGTGAAATTCAATAAAAATAACTAAATAAGAAAAATTATAAAAGTCATGAAAAGGCACATTTTAGCAGGTTTTTGAGAGTGTGAATAGAACAACTTTTAATTCTCACATATAAGTGAATTATGTTTATTAATTAGGTCGTTAATCTCTGAAGCCAGCTGGACTTCATACAGGAGGTTTAAGCAGTTTTACTTTTCAGGGTCTGTTTGTGAAACATTTTGAAACCAATGCGTCGTTTTCCTTCTGCCTCACTGCTTTTTGTTGCTACATCAAATAAAATCCCAATAAAATACATTAAAAAACAAAAGTTTTATTTCCAGTATAGATGAATTAATGTCACGTTTCTGTGTGCTGCGCCCTCAGTGGCAGCCCATCACCATCACGCTGGTGGAGAAGGTGCAGATCATCGCCGTGTTCCTGGGCTCGCTCTTCCTGGTGGCCAGCATCTCCTGGCTGCTCTGGTCGGCTCTCAGCCCGCAGGCCGTCTGGCAGCGCCGGGACGTCCTCTTCCAGATCTGCTACGGCATGTACGGCTTCATGGACCTGGTCTGCGTAGGTCCGTCTGCACGCCCAGGAATGACTGGAACTTCAGCACATTCATTTTCATTAAATCATTGGTTCGATTTTAATGCATTAATGTGGTTAGCATGACCCTGATGACAGCAGATAAACTCTCTTCAGTAGCTTCTGTTCCATATTTATATCACTGGAAAACAGGAAGAGATTAATCAAAAATTAAAAGTTTAATGCTTAATAAGTGTGTACCTGGTCATTTAAAGAAAATAATTACATTTCCACAATAGAATTTTTTTAATGATAATGATAATTTAAAGAATTCTGAGAATAAACTGGTATGAGAATAAAGTCAAAATAATACAAGAATTAAGTTAATATTTGATTTATTGAGTAATAATATTTCAAGAATAAAGTTGAAATACTGTGAAAATAAAGTCATTTACAACTTTATTCTCATAATATTATGCCTTTATTCTCATAAATGTATAATTTATGTTGTGATTGTATTTTTATTTTTTAAGTATGGCCCTATTGGTCGTAACAGCAAACATTTATTTATTGAGATTTCCTGTCGTTGTAACAGGCCTGATTGTCCACGAGGGGGCAGCAGTGTACAACGTGTTCATGCGCTGGCGGGCCGTGAACCTCCACTGGGACGTCCAGAGTTACGACAAGGCCAAGGACATGGAGGAGACGAGCACCGGCCACTCCTCGCTGGGCCCCAGGACGCTCTGGTTGCCCCTGGCAACCTTCGGGCCCAGCGGGCCGCTACACCCCACCCAGCTCGGGTCACGGCCGTGGACCTGCCTCTGTCTGGCCCCGTTCTGCCCCGGGCTGGTGCCCGGAAACAGCCTGAGTCAGGACGCCGACTCGGGGGAGGTGGTCATCCGCGTGACGTCGGTCTGAGCCTCGGCAGGTGAAACTTTACCTGAACGTTCATCCGCGTGACGTCGGCCTGACAGTTCATCCGCGTGACGTCGGCCTGGGCCTCTGCAGGTGAAACTGTAGTCTGAACGTTCCTGCATTTATTGGTTGCTGCTTTTCCGGTGTTTCTGATGAGTTGGGCTTGGTGTTTGTCTCCGGGGCCGGTCCCCAAACCAACCTCAGCCAGATAAAGATGGATGTGTTCGGTTGGCATTGTGACGTAGTCCTCTCATCCATCATGAACAGTTTACATGGTAGCATCTAAGACCAAACTGTTGTGTTACATCCGGGTTCTCTGGTACTTTAACGCTGCATCAGGAAGGTCATTTCAGTCCAACTGCAGCAGATATCAGTCACTGTCCTACAGTCATGCTGGTACTTTAGGATTTAAATGTTAAACACCAGAAAAAGGTTGAAAAAGTTTAGTGCCAAGAAGTTTTGTCAGAGGGATTCGTTGGCTCGAATTCAGACTTTAAGCACTGTGAGCAGAATGACGTCACACCAGAAACTCATTATTTCTTCTTCTCTGAGGAAACGACTTCCTGTTCTGGTTCTTGGGTTTCACCTGTCAGGACGTAATAAAAATGTTTCTTTTGCTCAGATTTGTAAAGGCACAATTTGGAGTTTGGTCTTTGACTAGGCCACTGCAAAACTTTTATTGCTGTTTTTTTGGGATTATTGTCCTACTGATGAGTTTCAGCTGTCGGATAAATGGCCTCACATTTGACGCCTTAATACTTTGTTACACAGAGGAGTCATGGTTGACTCAGCAGCTCCTAAACAATCCCATATCATCATTCTTCCTCCACCATGCTCAACAGTTGGTATGAGATGTTTGTGCTAATATTCCAGGTCCAAACATCATCACTTACTGTTCGATCAACGTTGTTCCTGAAGACTTAAAGTGCCGGTATCGTGTTTTCCAGGCTCATGGTGCCATTTTATAGCACAATCACATATTACCTTTATTTGTAATGAAAATGCTGACTTTGCAATTTAACTCCTTGAAATTGGCCTCTGTCTCTTTAAGAAGCTCCTACTCTTTCCAGGACTGCGCTTTCAGGGCTTCATCACAGCAACGCTCCTCCATTTTGCTGTTTATAACCATTCCACCAGGTGTTTGCTAACAGCTACTACTGCTAGTCTGGAGGAGCAGCGTGGGGAAGCTCCAAGGAGGTTTGTGGGAAAAGACGAAAAAAACTTGAGGTTTTAGGCACACTGAATGGTTGCTATGGGGATTAAAGGATTTCTCAAACATGCGTGAAAGAGTCAAAGCAACACTCCAGGTTTGTTTTTAATGAGAATAAAGTTACAACATGATGTCAAGCTAAAAAACGTCCATTTTGCATAAAACCATCCCTTTAAGGCTCATTTTGCCCAGTGTTTTTTAATAACTTTCATCCTTCTAGCTGCGTCCTGACATGGATGCTCTGACCTTTCTGTGAATATTTTGCCTCCAGGGATGATTAGCAGCTGCCTTAGATGATTTATTAACATAATATTTCCCTCCGTAGTTTGGTGGACCTGAAACATTTAGGAAACGACCTCATAACTTAACACACCTGTGTGATCCAGAGCGTAAAGGTGATAAAACTCCTGCTTTGGACTGTTTATGCTGCTGATGAGTTAATCTGTTAGGTTTATATCATTTTACAGCCTGATGAAGAATAGTTTAGCTTTATTATGTCCTGACAGAGAAAATCTGAATCTTCCTCATCATAACCTCTCTTCCATCTGCAACATTCCTGAACACCAAAAACAAAACCTGAATCCATCTTAGTAACAGTTGAGACGATTTCTGTATGGAAGCAAAGATAACCAAGAGATCTTAGATGGTTTTTCAGTCTAGTTTGTTTTTATTTTTTTAAACCCAGAAGAAATATGCGGGAAGCTGAATTTCATTCCTGCCAAACCCTCAGTGCAATACTGCAGATGGCCACTAGAGACAGGCTGGAGAACATCTGCAGACTGAATCAGGCTCAGAAACAAACCGATTATGGTTTATATAAAAGAAGAGGGATGAGATTCAGAAGCTGAGATGGCTTCAATGAGCACAAACTGACGTCAGGATGGTGTTGATTTTAATTTATGTCACTGTTTTCCTTCATCGGCTGGGATATGCTGCTATAGCAACGTTCATTTGACATAAAAGTGTTGGGATAAATGAGACGTTTGGGAACGCTGGGTTTCTGGCTCTGGGGGATTTTGGTTCATTTTGGTTCTTTTGGTGCCTTAAGAGGCTGAATATTAACGTCTCATTGTGCAGCACAGATATGACTTGAATGTGACTGTATTTGTTTCCTTTGTATGTAACCTGGTTGTAATGTATAAAGAATGTTTGTACACAGAGAGAGAAATGTGACTTACTTTCTTTAAGGCTCCAAACCGTCTGTGAGATGGAAAACATGAAGAACCAGATCCAATCAAAACGATCCAACTCTGGATGCTGCAGACTCCACTGATTATTTCTGATGTTAAAAAGTTTGCATTTTACTTAAAAAAAATAAAAAATCCTAGAAAATTTGAGAAAACTGCTCCACTTTTCCTTGCAGAATAGTTTTAACCCGGCTGGTTTTTTAGCCTGCTTCATGTTGTCAGACTGTTTCTCTTTATCAGACCAGGATGTCTAAACTTCAGGTAATTTAACTTATTCATGATTTAACAGGTAGAAGGAACAAATTTCCACACATTTCCAGGTGAGTTTGTTTAGTATTTTTCATTTTAAAACTGCTTTTTTTAAAATCTGGATATGTTCGTCAGATGTTTTTTTGTTTTGTTTTTTTTAAAGAAAAAAAAACTGAAAAAATTTGTAAGGAGAAACTTTTTCACTTTACGTTTTCATCCAGTCCAATGAAGAACACAGCCAACATGGAGACAAAACTACTCACATCTCTGGACTAAATTAATATTCTGTAAACATCCTTAGTTTACTTAATCAAAGAATGTCCTAAATCAAGAACAACTTAGCAAAAACATGCTACATTCTGCACGTTTGTTCTTCCATTTGGGATTCAGCTACTTCTAAAAACAAACCAAGCGCTTAAAAAAATAACCAAAAATGAGCAGTTTCAAAAATATCTGGAATGTAACGTCACAAATCAGCAGGCCCTGCCCATTACCTAGCAACCCCAGCGGAGCCACGCCGTCACCTAGCAACCAAAGCTAAGCTCCAGCGTTTGGTCTGCTGGTTTTCCCGCTGTGTGCGCTGAACAACGGCTGCTGGAAAAGACGAGTGTTTTGTTGTTGACTTGCCGTCCAGAAACCGTCTGGCTGCGTTTTTGTTCAAAGATGTTTGGCTGTTTAATTACGGATCAGTTTGCGGCCATTTTAACATGCGCGTGGAAAGGTTGAGTTGGGGGGCGTGGCCAGCAGCAGCTTGTTTGGATTTAAAGTGACAGACGCCCTAAAACTCATTCTGAAAGCTCTTTCAATGTATCTGCAAAATTGTAAACACAACCTAAACACATTTGAAAAAATAAGTGAGTTTTTTCCAGATTGTAATAAAATGTCTGACTAAATATTTTTATTTATTTATTGTAAATCAACACATAATTCTAATTCATATTCTAACACATAATGATAATTCAGATTTAAAAAGATACAAAAAAAGATACAAGAGAAAAATGCTGGGATAATAAATCAGAAGGCAAAAACCTGAAATGTACAGTCCACATGATTATATCACATATAATATATATTTATATATTACATTACACATTCTACCAAAAACCAATCTGAATGTAAAACAGGAAGTGTACAGAATTTACAACAAGGCACTGAACAGTGTGGCAGGAACCTGCAGGTCTTGGTCTTTGGATGGATCTGCCGCCCGCGGAGCTCCAGGGAAACGTGGGAATGTTGCGCTGCCGAACCGGGTCCGGTGGAGCGGCTCGGTCAAGCTGAAGCAAAAACTGCACCACAGTTACTATAACTGTTACTTTATCCATGTTTACCACAGTGTTACCAAGTTTTTACCACTAATTTAGGAACTTTTCCTTTCAGAATCAGTCCTAAAAATGTTGTTTTTCTATGGTCTGCCACTATAACAGCAACAGATTTGCTAAAACTCAGTCAGGAAGCTTTAACATTTGGGAACTGATTGCTGAGAAGTTGCTGTTTCTGAGCCTGAGTGGCTTGTGCAGCTGGACCGGTTCAGAAACATCGGACCACCGTTTTTATTCCTCAGCAGAACCTCGGACCCGATCGGAGTTCATACGGATGGAAACAGGCACTTGTGATTTCTTCATTGTCTGCTAATCAGTTATAAAAGAATCAGAACCGGATTCAGGGCTGTTCTTTAGTTTGGGACGGGAAAGGAAAATACATTCAAACAGTCTCTTCTCTAAAGAAACGCAGGACAGTTTCACAACCAGAAGCGCCGTAACGTCTCATGGCGTGTCTTCTTGTCTTTCCCATATTGAAGAGTGGCCAAAAGTCAGCAGAGACGCGATGAGAACTGGTTTTCTTTGGTAGCTTTTGTTCCATTCTTTTTCCTTTTGGATAATATTTAGTTTCTTTCAGAAAGTCTTCCTCCTGCTCTGTGGGAACGTCGTTGGAACTGGACCGAACCACAATCCGCTTCAATAAAAGCCTCATTTCAGGTGGTCCAGATGGAAAATGTTACGTTTTTCTGATTAATTTTATTCCAGACTGATTGTTGATAAGAAGCACTTCCAGGTAGAAATACTCAGTTTGTGTAGAGACGTGATGCTTTGGTCTGAGCTCCGGTTTCCATGGAGACTCCCAGCAGGACTTGGACCCGGTGGAGAAACCTCAGAGTTTTTCTTTTTGCAAAGCCGTTCCTTCATGTTGGGAAACTTTAAGAGCCCTGCAGGCCGGTACCTGAGTGGACCCGCCCTCTCTAAATGAAATGCAGCTGGTGTCAAACGTTTCTGCAGCAATAATTAAACGATGATGTCTGGTGACCTCTGGAAACTCTTCTTTTAAAAATCTTAAAAAATTATAACGTTGCAAACAAACATTTTGATGCATAAATCAGCACAAACGTAGCACAATTAATTTATATCAATTTGTTTGATTTTGTCAACGGGCAGGTTGACCTCTAGTGACCTCTGAAAACCTAAAAAATAATCTTAAAGTTAAAACAATACAAAAAATTTACCTGCACAATTAATTTCTATCAGTTTTGTTCATGCGTGGGGTCAGAGGTCGGAAGGCTGATTTCTGTTGACCTCTGGAAACGTCTATTTTTTTTTTTATTAAAATGGCAACAAAAACATTCCTGCAGAAATGCAGCAAATTAACTTTCATCCATTCTGTCTGATTTAATGTTGGGATAAAGATGGCAGCTTCATCTCTGGGAACTATTTTTATCTTAAAAATTATAACGCAACAAAAAAAAACAAAGAAATGCAGCACAAGCATTTGACACCTATTTCATATAATGTGAGGAAGGAGCGGGGCCATCTGGACTCGGTTCGGTTCTGGCCCTGCTCCGGCCTGCGGGGCCATCTGGACTCGGTTCGGTTCTGGGTCCGGTTCTGGCCTGCGGGCCCCTGAGGCTCCGTCCGGCCTCACCAGGCGCTGCATTTGCTCTCATGGCTGCTGACCGACTGACTGTTGCTGTAGCGCTTCTTCACGATCATGCTGATGTACGCCTTCATGAGCTTGGCGATGTCCATGACCTACAGGGGGCGACAGAGAGCGACCATGAGCCACAGGAAGCTTTTCACAGGAGGCAGCAGGTGGAGGTCATCGGTACCGACCATCTGGGTCTCGAACACCAGCTCCCTGCCCTCCACGGCGATCTTGTAGGCGTTGGGCAGCGGCGCGCCGAAGGACAGGATGAGCTCGTAGGGGAAGACCTCCAGGGGCCACGGCTCGCCGCGTTTGTACACGGAGATGGACTCCCGGCTCACGCCGAGCCACAGCTCCGCCGGGAACGCTCCGTCACGGCTCTGGAACCACAGAGGTCAGAAGGGGTCACAGCTGCTCCGGCTCCACTACTGTCAGCCGGCCAACGATTTCATCTTTATAATAATCACATTATGAAAAAAAAACAGAAAAAATAACGAGAACTCGGTTCACATCTCGCCTTGTGTTATAAACGCAGATTAGAGCTTCATAGATTATCAAAAGGTGGAATTTAAAACACCACATAGAGTGGACATAAGTATTGACTGGGATTACTGGGACTACTGGGACTACTGGAGTTACTGGAGTTACTGGGACTACTGGAGTTACTGGAGTTACTGGGACTACTGGAGTTACTGGGATTACTGGGACTACTGGAGTTACT